CCCCCTTTAGGGATTTGTCTTCTGAATTTGTATAATGTTCTAGACCTTGTGTTTAGGGTTGATATACTGATAACATTTAAAACGTAACGAGAATTAGGGTCTCGGGGATGCCTTTAGCTTGGATCTTTAAAATCTTTCTCTTAACTAAAAATTAACCCTCCTCTTCACGTGTTATGTTATGCTTTACTATGTATGTTTTAATCCAGGAAGTAAACCAAAATGATGATAAAGAGAAGATGAGTGCATTATAGATTAGTGTTCCAGCAACCAGGTTACAAAAAAAGGGAAAAGGCAGGTTTCACTTCATATATAATTTAAAAACAATACAATACTCGTACATTTGTTGTGATTACCATTAGATCAGACAATGAAATATTAAACATAAATAAATTACACGACTATCATTTTTAAAAGCCCCTGTCTTTACCCGTAAAAATTCTAAAACTTATTAGACATTCACTTTTGTAAGGACATAAACTATGTACATAATATAGACACTGCTCAAATAAAAAGACATTAAAAATATTTAATTTGGAGACTTTATAAAACTTGGATTAAAATTCCGATCTTGGAAAGTGAGACATACATACTACTACAATCTATGATAGTACCGACAAATAGATAGAAAAATTTCGGTCATCGGTGGGTCTCCAGAGGTATTTATCTTAAAATGACCATTGATGTTTCTTTCGTGCTATGTATAAAGCATTTTAAGCAGAGGAGACATTTTATTGCAGGTTTTCATAATCTTTATGAAGAACTTCAATGTGTTTTATGACACTGTTTAACAACAAGAATGCTCGCATGTGTCTGTGCTTATCTGATGTGATATTTTTCAACGAGTCTGGCATCACATCAGAACTAACAAAATCTGTGACAGGAATGTTGATCGAACCCAAGATTGTGTCCAGCTTGCACAAAGTGGAATAGAAGTAATGTTTGACTTTCAGGAGATCAGCTTTTAGGACTTCATTTCCGTGTTCCTCGTCATAGACTTTTAAAGACATTTACAACAAGTTTGTCAAACACATTTACTCAACTGGCCAAAAATCTGGCTATTGTTGATGAAAAGTTGCTTGAAGTAAGTTGTCGGCTGGAGTCTGTCATCTCATTGGCTGAAGAAGGGTTGACGCAGAGTCAGCGAGAAACAGCCAGAGAACTCTATCATGCCATCCTGGCTACATACGCCACATTTGAAAACAAGATAGACTTTAGCCCAATTTCAGACCAGAAAGAACTAACGAGATACATTTACCGTGGTCTCAGTTCTCTGGGGGGGATTCTCGGCACTTTGGAAAGATGCTGTAGAGCTTGGAACAAACATTGGGTAATAGGTAAAAAGAAAGTTACTATAAAGATTTTCACGTTCATAAATATTGCACAAAGGCATGACCAGATTGCACAATTTTACTGTGTGTGTCAGTTGCTTAGTGGTGATGGACAGTTCCGATTGGCCCGACTAAGGCCATGGTATATTTATTGCTCATGTTTATTGTTTCATTTACGGAATATGTTGACAATCCTAGTTTGGGCAGTAAGCAGTTAATTATGCTTTCCCTGAAAAGTCTCTCTGTTTCCTAAAAGCTTTCCTCCTTGGGCATTGCAGAATATTCCCATAAAAAACAACATATAGAGGCCCTCATGTTTATTTTAAATGTGCTTTTATACTCCAACTCTTCACGAGGTAAGCTAGCACGGCGTTGGGACCCGCTTTTTCATTTGAAAATCACTGTGCTCCTTTCTACACTGCACTGAACGAGAAGACATAAGACCACATGATTGTCTTTAAAAACGATGCTCTTCTGATAATTCTTCTTCTATTGCATCACATTATGCATGAGCAAACATTTTACAACTTGCCAAAAAAACAAAGAAGCTTTGAAATCTTTTTTTAAACCAAATGTGTATGACACAGTATTTTGTTGAATACGCACTTGCACATTCATAGGAAGCAACGCAAAAAGTACTCATAAAAACTATTCCTAGTGCTTTAAAACTCCCCGCTGGACACTGAGTCTGGTAACATGGTGTTGGTGCCCTTTTCCCTTACCGTCTTTTTCACCTTCTTTTAATTTTGTTCCACACTCAAGTAAATTACACGAAAGAGCATAGAATGAAACTTTCATCTTATATCAAGATTTCTTGGAATTTCTACTGATCTATTTAATGCACCAGCTAATAAGGAAAGTTTGGAGAACTGTTTTGACAATTAAATTCGTACACTGTCAAGTAATGTGGGATGCACACCTTTTCATGTATAGTGATTACAGTCATGTTACCTCTCATTCAAACTGTTCTATATCGTAAATATACGTACTTAAGAATAATATGCAATACTGGCCATTCTTGATGCTTATGAGATATTTTAGATTTTAAGAAATGACTATAATAAGAGAAAGCGTAAAGTAACATCCTTAAATTTTACGTCGTGTAGATATGAAAGAAAAAATTTTCAGTCTCAGTCCGAAAAGCACTATAAAGTACGAGACGAATAGAAAGAACAAAGCAGTGAATTGTATCACGGGCAGTTGTCTAGTTACAGGATTCTGCTGAGACAAACACTTGCTTAGAGTTTAAGTTTGTTCACGATATTCGTTTGTTCTATTTTCAGATGGCAGGAAACGAACTGCAAGGAGAACATTTTACTGGAGAACATTTTCCTTTAATGTCAGGTTTCGTACCCGGGACATTTAGAATGAAAGGCAAAAAACCGTAACCTCTAGCCAATGAGAGCCCACCGTCTATCTTTATGGCATTGAGAGCTCCAAAATCTTAATTAGGAACGGGGACTTAAAAGTCTGTCTAAGTTCAGAAGAACTGCTCTGACGATTTTGACAACAAAATATGAGGCAAAGAATGACTTTTGCAGATGGTAATGTGACACCTTGTAAATCATCTGTCTTGTTGCTTTCTGATAATTTAGAAGGCGCGCAATGATCCAGCCAGAGAAAGGACCAACCCTGGCTGAGATCGATATAACATCCCAGCAGACCCCCACCCCCAATCCCCCGCAAAAGAAAAAAATATTTTTCTTATTCGAGTATCGATCTCAGGTCTTGCATCCGAAGGAGAATCATTGAACCGCTACACTACAGTCGTTGGTGTTCAGTTCGTATTATAACTTAATTTTAATGTTTAAATAGTTGAATCTAAACTACTTTTATTGGCCTTTAATGGTTTGGCATGACTATTTCATTGGTATTTGCAATTGAAATGTAAAACATACAGATATATTATAATGTAAATTACTTTAGCAATTAGTTGCGACAAAAAAACTATAACATGAATAATTGCAATATAAACACGTTTTTATTAGCTTAAGATAAATTGAGAAATTCACATTTGGCATGTATAATAATATACAAAATATGTGTACTGTATTTTAACCCAAAAAAAAAATTAAACAGACAATAAAAAAGAAAAGGCTATAAATGTACGTAATCCTTAACAAAAAGGCAGGAAAGAATCATTAAACAATTTTAAAAACTTATAACCATTTTGATTGGCAGCTGATACAGCTTGACTTGTATACAGATTGAGTTGGGAACTCATAACTTTTGATCGCTACCGACCCTTTAAAAATAAAGATCGGAGCAAGATCAGAGTTAACAGGCATAGAAACAACAAAATTGCATGCTCAAAACAATCAACAGTTGTGTAAAGTAAAGTATCATATTATACAATAAAATATTCATTATGTTCATAACATGTTACAACTCGATGTGTCATTCAAATGTACAAAAAGAAAATGTGAGTACCTGAATTGTGGAATTTCACTGCTGGATGAATTTTCTTAAGTGTTTGTCTTCTGAATTTGTATAACATTCTGGCTATTACCTCTACATGATTAGATCTTGTCTTCCATTTTTACTGACGTTAG